GACCACATTTTGAGAACCACTAAATTAAACCCAGGTGCCCTTCTAACTACCACCCCTTTTTCTCCTTTCTTTCCTTAGCCAACTTCTTCTTTTTAAACATTTTTACTGTTTAAATGCCTTTTTAAACACTCCTCGTTTTAAACATTTTTAAAACCACACGGTAACACATAATCATTGTATTAAAATTAGTGAAAAGATATTGGAACCCTCCTATGCTGCTGATGGGAATGTAAAATGGTACAGCTGCTTTGAGAAGCAGTTAGGCAGTTCTTCAAAAAGTTAATCATAAAGTTACCATATGGCCCAGTAATTTCATTCCTTAGTATTATACCAAAGAAGATTGAAAACATATCTACACAGAAACTTATATGTGAATGTTCATAGCAAGATTACTCACAATAGCCAAAAAGTGGAAACAACCCAAACGTCCAAAGGGATGAACAAATAAAATGTAGTATATCCACACAATGGAGTATTATTTGGCAATAAAAAGGAATAAAAAACTGATACATGCTACCACATGGATGAACTGCTAAAACATAATTAAAGATACAAAAGTCCACATATTGTATGATCCCATTTATATGGAATGTACAGAAAAGGCAAATCTATAAGACAGAAAGTAGATTAGTGGTTGCTTGAGGTTCAGTGTGGGAATGGAGAGTGACTGTACATGGACGTGACGGATCTTTCTGGGGAGATGGAAATGTTCTAAAACTGGCTGGCTGTTTGACAAGCCTCCTACAAAGAATCCAGTTGTATGCTTCACTGACTTCAAATACGCCTCCCAATTCAAATTTATCATCTCCACCAAACCAGCTCCCTTTCTCAACTGCCCCATCTAATTTTCTCCAAGTCACCAGGGCTCAGAGTTCTATTTGACTTATTTCCTTTTATTTTAATTCTAGTCATCACATTTTCTTTACTTTTCTCCCAAAAGGTGTCATGTATTTATGAACAGACAATGTACATGAGAAGCAATACAGATATTAAAGTAACACATGAAAAATGTTGAAACCAGAATTATCAAAATAAGCAAATTAAAATTATAATAGGTCTCACTTATACCTAGTGCATTAGAAAAAGAAAATTTTTATTTGTGGCAAAATTTCAGGGAAACTGATATCCTCATATATTGCTAATGGCAGTGTAAAACACCTCCTGGGGGAAAGGAGTTTGGTGAAATCTATGAAGAACCATAAAAATGTTCATATTCTTTAAATTCATAATTCTGACTCCAGATAATTGTTTTTAATGAGAAAATTCAAAATGAGAAAAAGGTTATTGCTACTCAAAATGTTTCTTCAGCATTACTTTATAATAGCACAAATTTGGAAACAACCTAATTATCCAATGATTTGGGAATGATTAAGCAAATTAGAGCACACTAAGCTGGTGAAATATTATATAGCCATTAAAAATTATAACTATTGAGGAAGCTTGCATAGCAACATGAAAAATTGTTTACTAAGGAATGTTTAGTGGGGAAAAAGAAGCAGAAAACACAAAATCACATCTACATAGTTATCATAATCATGTCCCCAAAATCTCTATACCTACAGATAAAGGTGGCAGGGAAATGAAAACAATTAGAGTGTTAAGGTGGTAGGAATAAGGCTACTTTTTCTTCTGTTTTTAATTTCCTGTAATATTGTTTTCACAATAAATAAACTCCCTCCCCCCAAATATCACACATATTTATTTATTTCTTCTGTTCCATTTCTATTATACCTCCACTTCCCCAATCCAGGGCCATACTCTTTCATGCCTGAGTCACTGCCCCTAATTGGTCTCCCTTCAACCCATCTAGGCTGCAAATGCTACCAAGTTGTCTAAAGTGTCATATTTCTTATGTCACTTACCTGATCGGTAGGTAACCTTTCATTGCTCCTGTGTTTGTGATCCTATCTAGTTCTCCAGGCTTACCTATCTGGGCCCAGTGCTTCACTAGCACCAGCAGCAGTAACAACAGAGAAGAAAGGTAGATAGTATACACTTATTGAGGGCTTATGGGGTTAGGTTTGTTCTAAATGCTTTACATATATGAGCATACTTCAAAAAGTTTGAGGAAAATGGAATGAGAAGACCATATGAATCTTTCCATGAACTTTTTGAAGACCCCTGGTATTAACTCATCTAGTCCTCACAACAATCATCTGAGATAAGCACTCACCCCTTTTTACAAATAAGGAGATGGAAGGGGGGTCACTTGCCAAGGCCATACAGCTAATGAATAAAAGACTCTGGATTTGAACTCAGGCCAGACTGTCTTCAAGGCCAGAACTTAACCAGTGGGGTTTATTCCTCCAACACATCCTCCAGCACACCCTTCTTAGCTTCCTTTCTGGGCCTTTTCTCCTGTAGTCCCAACCTTCAGTTTTCTTACCCTGCAAAGAACTCAAATAGGGCACAATAATACTTAACATATATTTGCCCGTTACTATGTGCCAGGTGCTTGTTTAAACCCTGTAATTGACAAAGTTTCATCTTCTGGCAACTTGTGTGAGTAAGCAAAAGCTGGGTTTAAATCCTGGCTTGTGCCTTTACTAGTTTTGAGACCTTGGGTAAATTACTTAGCCTCTCTGAACCTCAGATTCTTCATCTGAGTTAGTGGTTCTCAGAGGGTGATCACAGGACCAGCTGCATCAGAATCACTGGGGAGCTTTTTAGAAATGCGAATTTTGAGCCTTGCTTCACACGTACCAATCACACTCTCTGGGGGCAGGGTCCAACTATCTCTGTGTTTTAACAAGCCCTCCAGGTATTTCTATTGCACCCTCAAGTTTGAGAAACACTGCCCTAGTTATAATACCTACCTAAAAGAGTTGTCGGGAATATAAAGCAAAAGATAATATGTGTAATTCAGCTCACGGCACGTAGGTTGTTTTGAAAGTGGTTAATTTATTATTACTGCTATTTAACTTTGTCTGGGTTAGTCTTCCCTGCTTGAGCTGTAGGAAGGCACTGTGCTTCCTTCTGCTCTTGCACTAGTATCTCCCACCTTGCCTAGCAAAAGGCAGTACATGTAATAGGTTTCCAATAAAGTCATGTTACTTCACTGACCAATCAGTAAGAGAACCCTTTCAAAAAAGCATTGTAGTATAGTGTCTCTGGAACTAGACTGCCTGGGTCTAGTCAACTTACTAGCTATGGGGCTTTAGGCAAATTAATGTATTTGTGTGTGCCTCAGTTTCTTCTCTCTGTAAAATGGAGAGACTAATAGTACCTACTCCATAAGGTCATAGTGATAAATAAATACTTGTAAAGTGCTTCAATCGGTGCCTAGAACCTCTGTTTTGAGCGCTGTGCTCAAAAAAGTTAGTTAGCATTATTATTTTGGTGTCATTTCACCCACTGGTGGAGGAGGTTCTGTTTTCTTCATTTAGCAAGCAAATGACAACTCTTGAGCCACTTCTCTGTGTTAGGTACTATGTCAGGAACAGAGAATGAGGCTATGGCTGAGGCATGGTCTCCTCTCTTGAGGGTCTCAGTCTGATATAGGAAACTTGGCAGGCACACTAGACTGAAATGATTTCCCCTAGGACATGGTGCAAGTCAATCCAGAGCTGGGAGATCAAGACCACCATAGAGTTCCATAGAATCCCCACCCAGGTATTACACCCCTGAGACATGATACTGAGGGATCTGTTTGAAGCATTTCCTTACTGATCCTAACCGAAGCAGGTGTAATGGAAAAAGCATGCACTATGGGGCCAGACAAGCCTGGGTCTGAATCCTGGCTTCATCACTTACTAGCTGTGTGGCCTCAGCTAAGTTATATGACCTCTCTGGAAATGGGTATCAAAATGAACAGTTGTGGAAAATAAATGAGATTATAGGTGTAAAAAGGTCCAGCCCAATGACTGACAGTAGATGATCAGTAAATACTGGGTTCCTCCCTTTTCCCACTGCCAACCAGAAGTCTGATAGGTTTCCCAGACTTTGAAGTCAAAGGAAAGCCAAAATTATTCCTGACTATACCCCCAAATCACAGGGGATAATGAAGACCCCCCCGAAAGAATCCTGGACTCTTCAGGGGTCAGGAGACCCAGATTCTAGTCCTCTCCCTTGGTGCCCCAACCTTGGAGAGCAGAGGAACAACTTGGAGCCTTCTTCTCTGTCCCCTCCTTTACTTCTGGAGTTTGAGTTAAGGATCAATATAAATTAGGGGCCACTTGTACAATGTGGGCTGAGAAAGACTGGCTGAAAAAGCATATCAAGGAGTTTCATAAAAGAGAGAGTCCAGCAAGGCTGATAGAGAACCACCCAGGAGAAGGTAACTGTCTGCTCCTTATGGTCACTTAGGGCAGGTGGGCTCTCCTTTGGGGAACTTGAGTGCTGGGGGCCATGGTAGACTCTCTACACCTGGTATTTTTTACTTAAGGGCTATGCCCAAGAAGCTCTTTTCCCTTTAGCCCAAGTCACATGTGCCATTTGTAACAATTTCCCTGCCTTCCTCCAGGAATTTTAACCTAGGGTCAATATGATCTGTCCCCAGACTTTTAATGAGCAGACCTTAAGTTCTCAATAAGCCCTGTCAAAAGAAAGATGGCAGAACCCAAGAAACCGGTCCCTCCTACATCTTTGGGACAAAGACACAGTAGTAGCTGGGCAGTTCTACTTCCTCTCTGCTCACTCCACCTGCCCCATGGCTATTGGCGGGGGGGCAGGCACACTCTATGCCTTCTCGTTTCTGTTTCAGCATGGTCTGGTCCCACATGTCCTGTGCTTAAGCAGGGCTGCCTCAGGCCTCTGAGCTGATGGGTACAGTATCCCACAATACCGCCTGACTTCTACGTATTCCCAAACGTCCTAACAATTAGTTTCGTCTGTACCCAGCTGTCTGGGGAACAGGCTGGATTACATCTACAGCATCAAGCTCTTGGTATGGATACCAGACCAGTTTCCTCAAAGGAAACTAAGCAAAGCAAAGACTTTAGCAATTTCTATAGAAACCCCAGAGTCTCCAACTCACCCCAACTCCCTGAGCGGTCACTTACCTCCCTGACTGGCTGGTCTTCCTGTTTCCTGTTATTGGTTTCCATTTGTCCTCAGGAAATTCCTGCAAAGCAAAATTCTGATAAGTTAGTGAGCTCTGAGCAGCCAGGTATCTAGATGGCTTCAAAAAGGTGAAGTGGCTGGAAGCCTGTCCCTGCCCAGGCCCCCCGAGCTGGTTCCCTCTACTCTCCTACGTGCGGGCTCGAGAGATGGGTACCTGGAGGGCTGCCTTTCTGTCAGGAGGCCTGCTGAGCTGCTGCAGCACGCAGAGACTAAGAGTGCTCAGGCACCTGGACACTGTGATCTGGAAACATTGCCTTTCCCTCTTTCCCCTCCCAAATTGAGTTAAAAACCAGTTTAGCACGTTTGCTGTTTGCTCTGGCTCTTGCCTGCATGGAGCGACTGAGGTCTTTTTGTTTGTTCTACTGGGTGAACCTGCTCATTCCTCTTGCCTCGTCCAACAGAGAAAGCATCTTCTTGGAAGCCTTGGCCTTTCAGGGGGCTTTGAGGGTAGAAGCTCCTGCTGCAGCAGCCCTCTCCCGAGGGAGGCAGAGGGAGAGCAAGCACACCCCTGTCCTGCAGTGGCCCTTCCTCCTCTGCCCACATCCCCTGGCAGGAGCTGAGATGGGCACATCTCTGGGAAACATGAGTGCTGGGGGCGACAGTCCCCACATCACAGAAATAGACTTGCCACCCTGGGCATTTTTTCCTTAAAGGTTACGCCCAAACATGCTATATGTGCCATTTGTAACAATGTTCCTGCCTTCCCATTCTAGCTGCAAACTGAATGCAAATTTGTCTTTCAGATTCTCCGTGATTTTGCTTCCAGCATCTTTTACCTAGAGACTCAGAACTTAGCCAAATGGGAATGCAGTTTTTCCTAAACCTTGCTGATCTCCCAAATTCCCTCCTTCTCTAATATTATCATTATTAGTCTCAGTCAAAGTTTATTACCTTTGCCCCAGTAGGCCTCCCTTTTGGGAGTAAGACACCTGGTGAAGCAGAATAAGCATAGGTCTGTTGTGTCAGTCATACTGGCCAGACACTTATTAGCTGTATTATTTGAAGGAAGTTATGTCACCTCTCTAAACCTCAGTTTCCTGTCTGGAAAATAAGGATTATACTATCTAGCCTTGCTAGTTACCAGTAGTGAGGATAAAATGAGATGTGCATAGAGAACACCCAGCACAGTGCTCAGCACCTAGGAGGCTCTGCATGTTAGTAGCCACAGAAAAGTTGAGGTGTATTTCCTGGCTCTAGTTTTCACAGGACCAGTGTAGTCCCTGCCTGTATCTACCACATCAGAGCAGCTCTAACCACTTGTACTGCAGACTCTGCCTCAATGCCCTTGTGAGATGTCCCTGCCCACAAACACACCATTACTTGTTCAGCTATAGTGGGAGCCAGGATTTCCTGTCCATGCCCTGTCTAGTCCTGTGGAAGTACTCATTGAATAGCAGTGGCCAAGCCAAACAAAGTCCTGTACAAACTTCCAACTACCTTCCAGCTCTCCAGTATCACCTTAGTTTTTTTCCTAAGCTACTTAGGCTCCTGAAAATTGCCTGTGCCCTTTGAAGCAAAGAGGCAGTTATCCCCACGGCTGGTTGCAGATGGGGATCATGGTGAAACTTGCTGCCTCAGTGGAAGTGATCCTGCTAGAAGGCATCCTGCCACACTGGAGAGGGCCTGGGCTTTGCGATCAGCTTACGGAGAGGCAGTGTTGGCAATGGGGAGCTTGGCCTCTGAAGCTAGACAGCATGGCTTCAAATCCCACACTTGCTCTTCAGCAGCTGTGTGGCCTTAGGCAAGTCACTCTATTTCTCTTTATCTCAGTTTCCTGAGCTATACAATAGTGTAATCATGATAATAAGAGTGCCTATTTCTTGATTGCTTGAGCACTCAGTGAGTTGATACTTGTAAAGCACCTAGAACAGCATCTGATACCCAGCAGACACTCAAATGTTAGTTTCCATTATGTTGTTCAAATCTAGAGGTGGGAAAGCGAGAGGGGATAGGGAGTAATTGGGTAAGTGACACAAAAAGTAATTATGATTTATAATGATGAACATGGTAATAATACTGATCACCACATACTGTACGCAAATACTGAAATACTGATAGTCAACTCTGTACCCCATAAATATGTATGAATAAAAATAATAAAAATAAAAATAAACAAATCCTGGCTCTGCCGTTTGTTAGATGTATGACCTCTCTGAGCCTTCATGTTCTCCACTGTAAAATGGGAATCCTAGTATAACATCTCATAAGTAAAATAATCTAACAATGTATGCAAAACTAACTGGCATGAACTATGAGGAATATGAGTACGTACTGATTTCAGTTCTCCTAACAGAACAGAACAAGAGCTCCCCAACCTTCTCCAGAGGCATAAGGAGCAGGATCTCGGCACTACTTCAGATAGTCACCATCACAACTACCTTGGTCATTGGAGCTGGGGCATCTCAACCCATGCTGCAAGATTTTCCCATGTCTTGGGGGTGGATGGTTCAGGTTGCAGGGGTAGAAATGGGCATGCAGTGGCTTCTAGACTGCCATCCACATGTCTGAAAGCCTAGTGCCTAAGAAGACCTGCTTAACTAGTGTAACAGGCATTAGGAACCCAATGTGGTCCTCCCTCAGAGTACAAAAGAGAGGCATCGTACAGGCACAGGCTCACCTGGCCTGCTGCTGCCAATTGCTGCAACCTGCAAATGGTGCCTCCTTCCCTTACAGAGTTGCTGGTCCTGGGCTGACACCTCTGCAGCCATCATCTCCTCACTTCCCCCTCAACCTCAGCCCCCTTTCTCTATTATCTACTGACAGGTCCTTCTTTCATCAAAAGTTTCTCAAGATAAGCCCAAATCTTCCTTTGTTTTAAGAGGTAATAACTCACTTATAAAATAATTACTATCTGGAAGTCACTGTTCTAAGTGCCTTACACATGGTACATAATTTAATCCTCACAACCAACTTGTGAAGTAGATGCTGTTATTACCATCATTTTGTTTAGATGGGAAGGCCTAGGCACCGTAAGTTCTGGGGAAGGAATGAGAATCCAGGCAGTCTGTTTCTAGCTTTGGTGCCCTAAATTATTAATTATTCTATATTTCCTCTCCTCTTTTTTTAACATTATGAATATTTTCAAACTTACAGAAAAGTTGAAGGAAGTCTTCAGTGAACACCCACCATCTAGATTCTACAATTAACATTTTGCTATATTTGCCTTATCATATATGTTTACCCCTCTATCCATCTTAAATTCTTGACACATTTCAAAGTTGCAAACAACTTTATTCCCATAAATTTGAAAACTTAGATGAAATGAACAAATTCCTTGAAAGACACAAACTACTAAAACTCACCCAAGAAGAAACAGATAACTTAAATGACTCTATATCTATTAAATAAATTAAATTTATAGTTAAAAATCTTCCCAAAGAGAAAATTCCAGGCCTAGATGGTTTCCACGATGAATTCTACCAAACATTTAAGGAAGAAATAATACCCATTCTATACAAACTCTTCCTGAAAATAGAAGAGAAGATAATACTTCCCAACTCATTCTTTAAGGATAACATTACCTTGATATGAAAACGAGACAAAGATGTTACATGAAAACTGCACACTATAATCCCTGATATACATAGATGTAAAAATCCTTAACAAAATATTAGCAAATCCAATCTAGTAATGTGTAAAAAGGATACTACATCATGACCAAGTGGGATTTATCCTGGCAATGCTAAGCTGGTACTTATTTCAAAAATCAGCCAACATAATTCACCATATCAGTAAACTAAAAGAGAAAAACTATATGATGACCTCAATAAATATAGAAAAAGCATTAAAAAAATCCAACATCCACTCCTGATGACAGTAACTGTCAGCAAACTAAAAATAAAAGGGAATTTCTGCAGCCCGATAAAGGGCATCTACAAAAAATCCTACAGCTAACATCAAACTTAACAGTAAAAGATTAAGAATGAAGCAATAATGTCCTCTCTAACCACTTTTTTTAAACATTATGTTGGGGTCTGGACAGTACAATAGGCTCCCCTCTCTCCCAGGAAAGGGCATACACAGTGGAAAGGAAGATATAAAATTATTTCTATTCTCAGATGACACGACTGCCTACATAAAAAATCTTTCATAATCTGCCAACACGTTACTAGAACTAATAGGTGAGGTTGGCAAAGTTGTAGGACACAAGGCTGTTATACAGACTTCAACTATATTTCAAAATAGTAGTAACAAAGAATTTTCACTTGACATTATGAAAATAATACATTTACAGTAGCATCAAAAAACATGAAATCTTGGGGCCGGCCCGGTGGCACACTGCTACAATGCGCCACTTGGGAAGCGCGGCAGCGCTCCCGCCGAGGGTTCGGATCCCACATACAGACCGGTTCCCGCTCACTGGCTGAGCGAGGTGCAGGGAGCAACACCGAGGGTTGCAATCCCGTTGCCGGTCCTGGGCTGGTACGGGGGCAACACTGAGGGTTGCGATCCATTGCCAGTCATGAAAAAAGACAAAAAGGAAAAAAAAAAAACATGAAATCTTAGGGACAAATATAAGAAAATATGTGCAAGAGTTGTTTGCTGAAAACTTAAGTTGCGTATATTAGCATACTTTAAAAAGGCCAATGTTTGTAATATTTTTAGGTAAAATTTACTTTCAGTGAAATACACAAGTATTAAATGTACATTTGTTGACTTTTGAATAGTAGACCTGTGTAACTCAAACTCTTATCAAGATAATAGAACACTATCCTCCCTCTACAAAGTCGCCTCATACCCTTTTCTAGTCGATCTCTGTGCCACCTCCCTGTGGCAAGCAGTGTTGTGAAATTTCGCCCCCTAGAATAGCTGTTTTAGAACCTCACATAAGAGAAGTCATAGAGTATGTACTCTTTTGTGTAAGGCTCTTTCACTCCTAAGGTTCCTTTTTTCAAAGAATATATATTGAGCAGTTTCATACACCAAGTCATTTCAGAAGTGTCTGCCTACGCAACAACGGTTCAACTCAGGAATGAAATTCTTGTTTGAGTGCACGAGCCCAAAGGTAACTCTGTGGACACCATGGGGAAGAAATTTGGCACTGAGCAGGCAAGGACCTAGGGTGTCCTCCCAGGAGCACACTGAAGAATGGTGGTGGCTTGTTTTAGGATGCTAGGTCATAACCAGGGTGTAGCAGCAGCCACTTTAGACCTGTGTCTCCAACAGAGACAGGCTAGAGAAGGGGGGAAGGTTTCGTCCTTTATGAAACCAGGCAGTCAGATCTCTGAAAGCAAAACCTGGGAGACATCTACAAATTTTACAGCTTCAAATAGTTTTTGAGCAGGAAATGGAAGGCAGGAAGTTCTGTTTTGTATCCCATAGGGCCTGGCACTCATTTGATCCTCACAACCGATCTGTGAAGCAGCCATGATTTTTCCTCCACTTTAGAGATGAGGTAATAAGACTTCTCTTAGTACTGGCTATTCTAGGAGGTAAATTTTTTTTTCCTTTAAAAATCATATAACTTCAAATTTTAATGGTTGAATGACTTGCTTAAGGTCACTCAGATACCAATTTTACAGCCAGAATATAAATCCCAGTTCTGTCCACTTTATGGAGCAAAAGTTACTTTTATGTAATTCTAAAGATGAGGTTACTGCAATTTTGGAGGCTGGGTGTTTTGCCAGGGTTACTAAGCTACCATCTGGTAGAGTCAGGTCTATGCAGTTTTAAGAAATTGTAATTGTTATATTTTCAAATGATTTACTTTCTCCTCACAAAGAGAACAATGAAGCTCACCCACCCAAGAACCAAGTTCTCACCTGCACTATTGGCTTCCTGGGTTTCCAATGGTTGCCAGTGGCCAAGCTGCTGTCCTCAAGGGTACTGTGCTGAGGATTATGATAGCAAGCTGAACACCGGATACACTGGTGGTGGTGGCACCGGCAGTTGTAGCAGTTTGGCATCATATTTCTCTTTAGCAAGGCAGGGCAGATTTCCCCAGAACAATAAATGCAAGGGTCATGGACTACAGCTCCCTGGACACTGCAGGAGTAAGAGCAGGTCCTGTGGTAATCAAAATCACCACAGTGCAGTGGCTTACAACACATGGAATTTTCTAGACCTTTGCTTGCAAAGCATTCTGAGTATGTGGGCGTTTCTGACTGAAGGGGTGACATGGAATGATATGATTGGTCTGTGGCATGATATGGTTGGTCTGTGGAATGATATGATTGATCCATGGGATGGCGCCTCAATTCCTTACAGCTGGTGCTTACTGGCTGAAAGTTTTGGTCTATAGGTTTTGGTCTCTGGGTAAAAGTCTTGTTGCTCTTAGTGGTTAAACCTGGCAAACGAGATGTAGACAAAGATTTGCTACTCTCTTCAAAGAACTTTCTTCTGTCTGCAAAGGGCAAGAGAATGGCTTCCTCCTCAGCTTGGGCAATAGAAGACTTCAATTCCTGGTTGTCACCTGGGCTGGAAGGGTCTTCCATGGCTAGTACCACATGTGGCTGTGGGTTATACTCTGGAGACCATCTCCAATGACCTCCACGGACTCCACGGTGAGCATTTGCTTTCTCAGAGTCTGAGGATGATGGATCAGATGTTTTCCACCAGGTGCTCAGGCTCGAAGAGGAATGGCTAGGCCTCTGGCCAGGGCTTATTTGTCCATTCAAGCCTGTCCTAGATTCATTGCTCTCAGGAGCTTGGCTGAGGCACTCTGAAGACCTAGCCCTGAGGATCACACTTTTGCTGAAGAACTTATTTCTGGGGCTAGGGGGTTTTTTATATGACGATAGAAGAGATGAGTTAGGGGCAGAGAGTGGAGGACTTTCTGGGGGCTCCTGGATCTCTTCCCCTGGCTCCTTCGTGTCACACAGCTGTAGCAAGGGACCCTTGCTTTTCTGAAGCTGGGCCTTCCTCCTCTGAATTTCATTACGCAAATTGGTAGCAAAACGCTCACTCTTCCGGCGGTTTTGGATTGAGCGGCCCCGGGTCCCTCCACTACGCCTACCACCCATCTGGCCATACTCCTTGGGCTCATTGTCACCTTCTTCAGTTGCCTTTATACAGCCAGCTACTTTAGTGGTTGAAGAACAGTCCCTGATTTGTTCAATGACGGAACCAGAGGCAGAGGGCTGCTGGCTGGCCGACTCACTGCCTGCTCTGCTTACTCTGTTTGGGTCCAGGAAGCCTCTTTCTGGAGGGTGGCCATCAGCCTCTCCATGTAGGCAACTGCTTTGGCTCTTGTGTCCCGAACCCAGAGGTTTATCATCCACTGGCCTGGTCTTCCTTTCTTTGATGGGCTGGTCCTGGGTTCCTCCTGTAGGGGGAAATGGACTTTTCTTCCCTTTGTGGCTGCTATGCAAAGGGGACAGAGTCCACTGGTGCCCATCCTGCCCCACTGGGAGCTCCTTCCTTTTGCTGCCCCTAGTATCAAGGTGTACTTGCTGCAGGTGGGATGCCAGCAGCTGTTCAGGGGCACTATGGCGATGCCCTGTGGGTCCCGTGAGGTGTGCAGGGCTTCCAAAAGAAGAAGCCTTAGCTAGCTCTGCTGAAGCCTTGTTGAATGAGTTGCAATCCATGCTGGAAGCTTTGTCACAGGATTTTGGGGATCCAACAGCTTTGGCCGAGGTCTCCATCAGTGGCTGCTCTGAGCCCTGCTGGCTGAATTCGGGAGGCTGGCTGAGCTCACAGTTCTGATGGCCCTCGCCTGTCACTTGGTCTTGTCCACTGAGGCAGCAGAACCTGTTAGGGTTCCTTGAGGATAGCACTGTCTCTAAGCTCGGTTTATCCTTCTGTTGCAAGGACTCCACAGGTTCAGATGCCCTGCGCTGCTCTCCATTGAGGAGGTGGGCTCTGGAGGACTGAAGGCTGTCCAGCCTTACCGGAGGTTGTGGTGGGCCCTTGGCCACTTTGGCAGGCCCTGAGTGGTGGCCCTCCTGTGGGTGGGATGATATCTGGGAGCTGGTGGTCAGGTGGCCCCCATTGGTGCATCGGCTACCTCCTGAGGTCTCAGACACATTAGACTGGCCATTGGGGGCCTTAGTTGGCCCTGGGCCTTGAGCAATGTAGTCCGCCGGGGCTGGCTCCTCTGGCCTGAGGGAAAGGGCACAGTCAGAGGCATTTGAGCTGGCTGAGAAGGAGCTGTAAGCTGAATCACGCTGGCTGGGGTACATGTTCTGGTCAATGGGCAAGAGGTGGCCCTCACAGGTAGCTTGACCTGGTTGCTCCAGGCTCTCCATGCTGCCAATGGAGCTGCTTTTCTCGGTGCTGCAGTGTCGGGACAGTGGACACCACTGCACACACACGTCACTGCAAGACACAGGACACACCAGTTAGTTGGCCAAGTCACCTGATCCCTTTCCCACATTGGCTAGCCCTGCCATGAGAGAAAAGCAGGACAACTCAGAGACACCCATGTCACATATGAGAGGGAGGTGAGGCAAAAAGGGAAGAAAGGGAAACAGAGAAGGAGACAGGTGCTGGGTTGCCGCAGGGGCACAGTAAAATGGGAGACAAGATGGCATATGGAAGAAGGATGCAGAGATGCCCCAAAGTGGGAGAACTCCATGGGGATTATGTTCTTTTTCCCTGCTATCAGCAAGTCTGAAATTGCCTCTGGGCTATCTCTGTCCCCATGGAGTCATGTGTCTCTCTCTCAGGAGAGACAATCACAGATTACCAGCATTAGAGAGAGGCCCTGAAAGAATGATTCAAATTTCAGCTAGACCATTTTGTAAGTCAGTGGTTCTCAAACTTCATGCATCAGAATCACATGGAGGGCCTGTTAAAACACAGGTCACTGGGCCTCATCCTAGAATTTTAGGTCTGAGTGGATCCTGAGAACTCGTACTTCTAACAACTTCCCAGGTGCTGCTGGTGCTGCTGGTCTGGTGACCGCACTTTTAGGAACAAGTTGCTTAAAAGGAGCTCCACAAAGGGAAGTGATTTTGAAGAGGTGATTTTCTCAAGATCACCCAGCTGTAACTAGTAGCACAGACAGGGCCTGAATTTAGGTGATCCTCTATTCTTTTCTTGATAATAGCAATCCTGACTATTTACTGAGGACTTACAATGTGCCAGGCACTTTACAAGGTTTCATTTCAAACCGAAAGGGAGAGATTACCATTCCCACTTTACAACTGAGAAAACTGAAGCTTAGAGAGGTGAAATAAACTGACTGCTAAAGAAGCTGAGCTGGAAGTTGAACCCAGGCCTCTGTGAGATCAATGTCTTAGCTCTTCTGCTACACCATCTTGTAAATGGTAATAATAGTAACATTCATATCAGAGGGTTGCTGTGTACATGAAATCAGATAATAAATGTAAAGCCCTTATCACAGCCCAGGCAGCTAGCAAGGGTTCAATACATGGCAGCTGCTGCTATCTTGATTATTGTTATTGTTCTTATTACTATCAGCATCCTCTCTACTACTAGCATTGATATGATAGTGGTCTCTGCCCACCCACTCCTCCTCCCTCAGTTCCCATGGCAAAGCCAAACCAAGGAGACCAAAGAAAGGGTGAGGAGCAGATGCAATCTTGAATTTTAAGTACGATTCCCACACATAAAGCCAAAGTGAGCCAAGTCATGCCAATAACTCCCTTTGACTAGAACTCAAGAGGTTGCAGGCTGCTCTAAGAAAGGCCATAGTCCAGAAAGCCAGAGTTGAGCTGTGGCAGCAGCGCATGAGACCCTCAGCTCAGCCTCCCCTGATTCTTGCTCCCTGACTTGCCCTTAGCCACTCTGCTTACTTGTCCTCTGGGCTAGGAATCCGTCAATTCCTTGTTGGGAAGGGAACCTCCTACCCACCCCACCACATTTCCTGCTGAAAAAACTACACCCCCACTCGAATAGGAGCCAAGCTCAGAATGCATTTCTGTGTATTCTTCCAGAACAAAACTGCCTCTGCCCTGAGCCCCCAGCTTCCAATGCCAAATAAAGTCACCGAGTCAGGGAAAACTCAATCCTTAGCTTTCCTGAGCCTCCTCAATAGAATCCCTTCTTGGAGGGAAGATCTTGTTGTGGAAAAGAAAAGGCAGCTGAAGGCAGCAACTTCGCTGGCTCTGAGTTTGCTGAGAAAGTTATCTACCTCTTTCTTGGGCAGCTATTTCAACAATAGACAACACTAAGGTTCCTGAATTAAGTGATCCTCATTGCAGGTAGAGCCTGCTATTAGAGGAGGCCCCCATTTCAAAGGCTTTAGCTCTGTGACAGAGCTGATGAACGCTGGATGAGGTTACCAGTGAACTGGTGTTGAGAGAGAAGAGGGCCAGAACCGAGCCCTGGGGACTTCCAACATTAGTAGAGCAGGGGGGTGGGAGGAATCAGGAAAAGAGATTGAGAAAGAGCAACTGGTGAAATCAGATGAAAAGCAGGACAGTGTGGTTATCTTGCAAGCCAAATGAGGTATTTCAAGGAAACACTGTCCAGAAGGAGAGGTACTGGTCCAAAGTCACAGAGAGTTACCAGTAGGCTAGGACTAAAACCCAGGTACTCTGGACTCCCAGTACATTTTCTGTCATACCACTGTAAGCTCTCTAACATCTAACAGGGACTAAAGCAGAGGAGGAGGAGTGGCCAGGTTATCTACTCTCCAGCCCATCTTGAGGGAGGGCTCTAGACTCACCTTGTGCTGTAGCCGGAATGCCAGGACAAGCTGAAGGCTTCAGAAGGGAAATGCATGGTGGTGGCCACTTCAGGGCATCCCTCCAGTAGCTTGGCCACATGCCATGAGTGCGGCCTACTGACAGGGGTGTTTCTCCTACAGTGAGAAAGGGACAGGAAACCAGCTTAGGGAACCAGAGCTGAAATCACTTCCCAAGCAGCTTCCGCCCCACCCCCTTTCCCTTCAGTGAAGTAGAACATCTTACAAGGAGCTGGTGGGGGAATCTTGGTGGCCCTCCTCAGCTCCCAGTACTCAAGTCTCCTTCATCCTGGGGTGATCCCTGGAGATACGGAATGACAACTTCACAGGGCTGTTTTGTTCACTGGAGTACCCTAAGCACACACAACAGTGCTGGCCACATAGTATATGTTTGATAAATATTTGTGGAATAAATGGGTGCTGCTGCCCAATGAACAGTGAACCTACTCTCATTTCTCTTTGAGGAAAAAAGCCAATATGGCCAATCTTCTCATTTTTCTCTGAGAAAGGAAGGGCAAAGTGGTTGAGAAGTGTGCATAATTCAACACTGGGCTGAGAATTCTTTAATTTTTACTCGTTCATTCAATAAACATTTGTGGTATGTTTACTGAGTGCCATCTATGTGTAGCGTTGGGGATAAAGAGATGAATAAAACAGTCTTTGCCCTTGACAGCTTACAGAATAATAAGAGAGAGCTAATTCAAATAAAGCATGATAAAGGCATTGAGAAAGTGAAGGATAAGACAGGCACAGAGGTGAGACACCTGAATTTGTAGGCCAAATGGTGACGGGAGGCCCCAACTCCTGTGAGGGAAAATAGAACAAAGTGGTGAATGGCACAGTGCTAACCCAGCTGAGGAGACCAGCTGCTCAGCAGGCCAGAGCTGAAAAAAGGCAAACAGGTCCAAGGCCAAGGCCCTGAATGCAGCCACAGGGTCTGTCCAGTGCTGGAGGCTGCAGCCACATCTGTTGCACTGACTGGCTTATACAGGAGCCATCCCTGTCTGTCCCCTGGCATGCTTCACATGAGTAGATACCACCCTCGCAAGTAGGGAAGAATGGTACAGGGAAGAGCACACATGCGGTATGAGTAATACCAGGAGATAAAGAGATAACTGGTAGGAGGAAGAGGGAGGGAGGGAGAATGAGAGAGGGAGAGTAGAGAGAGAGATGGTAGAAGGGCCAGGCAGATGATAGAAATAAGAGGGAGAGATGATAGAAGGAAAAACAAATGACACAAAGGGAGAAAAGTCTGAGAAAGAGTGTAGAGAAGTACATAGTACGGAGAAATGGATGACAGAGAGATGAATGACACAGTAAGAGAAACAGATGATAAATAAGTAGGTGACAGAGAGATAAAGAGATGATAGGTTATTTACTAATGTATTCACATTTACTGTGCCGGGCTCCATAGCAGGCACTGATAATACAGAGTTGAATAAGATAAAGGCCCCTGTTTTCAGCAAGCTCGCTACATATTGGCATAAATCAGCTCTCAACCTCCCAGAAGCAGTAGTGAACAGACTCAAGCTGGAGGACTCCACCCTAGCTGGAAATGCCCCTCACCCCAGCAGAAACACAGAAAATCCCAGCAGTGCAAGGTTTAGAGGTCTAAGGCCTAAAAAGGTAGTCCTGAGGAGAATGGCCTTGCTGGGGAAAATACAGACTGAGTGATAACAGGCCAGACACAGACAACGAGATGTAAGAGGAAGGGCTGGTGAAGCTGCTTGTCAAAGGTTGGGCACCAGAGCCACAGGTCAGCAGCCCTAGCTAAAATTTATGGGGAGGAAAGCCAAGTGAGAGCCCCCCCCTTTGTAACCACATTGATCTATTATGGCTCTCAGACTGCCATCAGGGAGGCTGAAGGCATAAGAAAATCTCAGGGGCTGTGCTTGCTCTGAGTCTCACACACAAAGCTATGCTGCTGGGGAATCTCCCCAGCTGCTGTTACCCTGCAGTCATCTGGTCAACAACTACTTATCAAGCATCTACCAGTAGCAGTACTATGTGCTACTAGGTACTATGTACCATGTGTATCTACTATGCTTCTAGGCACTGGGGATATAGTAGAGAACAGGGCACCTCTCCTATTTCAGGCCCTTCTTCCACATCCAGGATTCCTGAAGTTCTTCTGAGTCCAGGGTTTAAAATGTGGGTAGTCAGCCTTGATACCACCTTCTCCCCAAACATCAATTCCACACGGAGTTCTACTGACTCTTCTCTTATGATGTGTCTCTGGCTTTGCTTCTCTCTCTCCATTCCCACTGTGACCATTACACAGAATCGTACCTCTCCTCCCAGGACCCACCACCATCACCTCTTGTTCTAGTCCAGGCTCTTGACACTTTATGTCCACATTAGTACGTCAGAGTGCCAGTGAGTCTCACCTTGTTCCACCTCCAGTCATCGCTTTTAGATCATACCATGTTAAACACCAACTGAATCAGGGCACTCTCCTACTCAAGAATCTTCACTGGCTCCCTATTTCTTACCCTGTCCAGCACCAAATATAAACTGGCTTAGACTTTCAAAGCCTTCTGCAAGCTGTCTTTACCCACCCAGCTCTATCTCTCTCACGTCTCCGCTCCAATTACACCTTGCAAGTGGCTTTCTCCCTTTCTGACTCTGTGCCTTTGCTGTTGATTTTACAGTAGAATCTAGCAGAGGCTCTAGAGTTGGACCAGCTAGGTCTGAATCCCAGTTGTACCACTTATTAGTTCTGTCGCTTTAGAAAGGTGACTTCAGTTCTCAGAGCCCTACTTTCCATGGCAGTAAAATGGGGATAGTAGTACCTACCTAATGGGGTTTATTGAAAGATCAAATGAGATGATATATATCAAGTGCTTAGAACTGGGTCTGGCAAGCTCTCAACCAATAACAGTTATTACTATGACTGTTCCCTCCTCCTGGAACACCCCCTCCCCTTCGTTAACTTAAATCCTACCTGTTCTTCAGGGTACTGCTCAAATACCATCTCCTCCACAAAGCTTGTCCTGAGTAATCTAGCCCTCACAACTTAGCCCATTATAATGTGATGTTTCATATTGCTCATTATCATTTCAAGTAAGTTAGTCGCATTCTACTAACCATACCAAACTAGTAGGCAATGAGACAAAAATGAGTGAGACAGATCTAGGTTCAAATTCTAACTCTACCACTTTAGATCTGTGTATATGCAAGTCACTTAGCCCATCTGAGCTTTGGCTTTCTTATCTGAGAAAGGGAACAATAATCCTTACCTGGCTAGGTTATTGTGGGGATTAGAGATCATATTCTCAAAGCATCCGGGACACAGCTTGTTGCATATAGTACCTACTATTTACTATACTATAAATAAATATAGTAAATAGTATAAATAAATAGTATAGTAAATAGTAGGTACTATAATGATGGTTATTAGCTCAGACTTTCCCTTTTCGATGGCTCAAGAGCACCCCCCATCAAGGGTACTCAAATCTGTCCATCCACTGTTAAGATTCTGCTATATCACTGCCTTGCCACACTCTGAAAGGCAGCTTATAGGCTGGTCAGTTAGCTCACTTGAGCTCAGTTAGAGCGTGGTGCTGATAACACCAAGGTCAAGGGTTACCAGCCAGCTGCCAAATAAATAAATAAATAAATAAATAAATAAGTTTGTTTGAAAGGTAGCTCACAAAGGCCCCTTACTCTCTCTAGGGTTTCTGCAGGAGTAGAAAACAATCCCAAAGATGACAAGGGGGCTGTGGAGGCTTTTGGAACACTGGGAGAAAATCAAAGGCTCAAAAGAGGGATATCCTAACAAAGGGAACTGGAGCCAGACCTGGAGCCTTCTAACTCTAGTTTGGGAAAATAAAGGAAACTATCTATAGACAGTATAATATTTGGCCTATTATTATTTTTCCTGAATAGCTTTAGACTAGTAGTCAGTCCACAGCTGCATTCAAATCCTAGCTGTGTGATCTTGGGCAAGTCACTTCTCTGAGTCACAGATTCTTATGAGTGGGGGGAAATGGCCATCTCTTTCTCATGAGTTATATTCTTGATTAAATTCAGTCCCATGTGTGAAATCAATCAGCAAGCATAGTGCCTGACATAGATATTCTACAAACTTAAAAAAAAAAAAAAAAACCCAGGGAGCATTTATCGAACACTTAAGACATGCCAAGCACTAAGTACTTCACATGCATTAGCTGGTTTAATCCTCATTCCAACCTCATGAGGTAACAGCTATTCTTATCCCCACTTTACAGATGAAGAGATGCAGGAAGCTAAAGTGATCTGCCAAGAGCACACAGCTAGTAACCACCAGGGTTGGGATCGAGACTGAGATCCTCCAGCTTTTTCTAGGACAGTACACAACACCCCCTCGCCAAAGAGGGGTCTGTCTCAAAAAGCTTGTATACCTGAGGTTTCCCATAGCCATTCCCTCAAGAAGCAGTCAGAACAGGGAGGTCTCAATAGTCTGAGAGTTGGAATCATCCCCTCCTTAGGCAATGGGGAAGAGTGATGAGGAGAAATAAGCAGATAGGTAAGAAAATGCCAACCACCAACAATGCAGCTCCAGACCCAGATGTGGAGGCAACAACCCCAGTGCTTCTTTGCTAAGGCTGGCTCAGGCACTATCAATGAACACACACCCTATCATTCAGTACCCCAAATGCTTTTCTTAGGAAGCAAAAAGAAAGGATCATTGAAGAAAGCAAGCAGGAGGGGCAAGAGGGGCAGCAGCCATGACAGCCATGGCTACCGGCTGTACCTACCATGGAAGTTGCCCAGGGTGGAGAGATGGCTTAGGAGAGAACGAGGTATCCAGCTAGCTCAGACTGTCATCGACAACCCCTCCGGCCAGCATCCTCCCTTAGCTGGGACCCATTGCCCTCCAGTTAAGACCTCCTGGGGTAAGAAGCCATCAGCCCAAGATCTTGAGTATGATCCAAGGGGTTCAGGCACAGTCAGGCCCCAGTTCCAAGAACAAAAAGGAGGAGCACTAAAGGCAAGGTATGGCCATCAGCCTGGTTGGGCCCAGATGTGGCCGCAACCTTAGGGAATGAAAGCCAGTGTCATGAGCTGATAGGAGTGAAGACGCTGCTCCAGGGGTTCCTTTCCTTCCTGGTGGCAAAGGGAAGGATGAAAGGCAG